ATAACGAAAATAAATCGAAAAATAGAGAATTTTATGTGTTTTTTTAACTCTCATTTTTATTAAGACAAATCCAAATGTAGTTTTTTCGTTTTTAGTCACAGCTCATTTAGATATATACGAAACCTAATTATAAAATACTAATTTATGATATTCCTGTCATTAAAAGCACTAACCTTAAAAGGTTAGAACAAAAAAAAACAAAAATCCCGCTTGCGTGAAGAAAAAGGCAACTGATTAGGTTAGAACAAAATAAAAAAAAGCAACATCATACATAACATGCAGTCGGAGGTATGAAATTGATAAGTCAAATCAGTCTCTCTTTGTGCATATTATTGTAATAATGCCAATATAATAACATATGTCATATCTTCAAATTTCTTAATAGGTTCTAAAATACACAAAACATTCCATAACGATGATATAATTATATTTCGCAAGAAAAATAAAATATTCCGTTATTTTTATTATATTACATTTATTACAATAACAGTACCGACAGTTGGGTATTACAAAAAATGTAATAATCTGAAATTATTGCTATAAATGTATAGCAATAGCAGATTATGCAATAAATATAACTTATCTTTACAATAGTTCTGTGAAAATTATAATAAATATCACTAATTTGAAAATCAGGTACAAGTTAATATTTTTTGTTACAATTAGTTTTATTTACAATACAGTCGCGCTAAAGTCATTAATCATTATTAACCTAAAAATAGGTAGGTTTTCCCTTCTCTAAAGATATTTTCATTATATTTGTACGATAATAATCATTATAACTTCATGTTAGCACCAAACGCAAAACGGAACAAGTTATTGACATTTACTCTTTGGTCAAGATCAAATAAGGTCCCATAGAGATTATTTTTTAAATTGTATTTAAGGTAGTTTGATTTGATTCATACTTTGTGATTGATGCAACGAAGAAGGTTTCTGCACACCATTGAACTGTCTTTTGTTCATTTAATAAACAGATTTTCTCAAAGATCGAGATTTGTCTTTCAATCGAGTAAAAGTAACTACTTAAATTAACGTAATAACTAAAGCAAATATTCTAACCACGAGATGAAAATTTGAATAAAGTAGGAACTGTAAATGTTAGTAATTAAACAGTTAACTCGATATGTACCTAAACTATACTAATATACTCGTATATATAAGTAACTTTTATAATAAAATATATAGGTAACTTATAAATCAACTAAGAATTTAATAAGTTAATAGAATTAGAATAGTAACGACTTAATAGATTGCATGGACTAGACCATCTTGTCAGCTAAAATAATTTATCTACCTAGAAAATGTATTATTTGCTGTAATTTAAAAGGGTGAACCTGTTTTATCTTGTCATTATTTCATACATGATTTAAAACAAGTGTGAATAATATAATATCCATTAAATTTGGTATTCGTTTTATAGTTAGACTGTTTTTGTTTTATACTATGTTTTCTATAAATTTTACTATTTTTTTTCTCTCTTATAAGCTTTATTATTCTATGATAATGTAGCGATAAAACATCGCTGTCGCCGAATAAGAGGTTCAATCGCTTAATGAATAAATATACTTTATTGCCCAGTAAAACATAAACATGAAAACATATATAATTATACGTATATATAGCCTTTTGCATTTATATAGAAACATAAATGCAAAAGGCTGCCATATTGCTAAGGTCAATATCTACCAGGCTTCCCTTGGCTGAAAAAACTATACCGATTGAGTAAAGAGACTGAGGGCTTGTGTATTAAAGAAAGAAGAATGAGAAAATTCATAAAGTATTTATATATATATATACTATATTCAGGAAGATGAATCCAGCTTGAGGAAATGTTCCTTCACATGTTAACAAACGACTCTCGTGATTGTGCGCGTATGTTATTTACCGGCAATGAATTCCACAGTTTAATAGATCTGATATAAAACGGCTTGACAACGAAATCAGTTGTATGCGGAAGAATCACTAAGGAAATAAAAGGAAGACCACTAATCTCGGTTAGAATTAGAAGAATGAAAAAAGAAGTATTCTTTAAGATATTGCGGTGTTTGAAGATTAAAAATAATATATAAAAAAGCGATACATAATATAATAGTATAAAGAAACGACAAGACGTGACAGTCTCTTCTACGAGATATGGGTAGCCATATGGTCATACTTGCGAAGACAAAAGATGTATTACTTTTGAAATAGGGCATATTTGACTGCACCTACGACATAGGTGGTTTTGACGATGTATATTTAACAGAATAGCACTGTGTTAGATTGTATAAGACGGGTATTATCGCGATAGATTTAGATAGTTAGGTTCTTCACCTACCTAGGTAATAAATATAGGTATATAAAGTTTAAAAGTTTATATAGAATAGCACTGTTCTAGTAGACTACTAAGTATGGTTATAGAGTGGCTCGTAAACCGGTTTCAAGGTGTCGACATCTTTGATGTCCCGACTTCAATTCCCGGTCGCGTCAATGTAGAAAATTTAGTTTTTTATATTGACCAGGGTCTGCGTGTTGTTATACGTTCGTTATTTAAGATACTTCATATTACGGCTTAAGATGCTTATGTGTATGTTTTATGTGATGTTGTCTAATAAAGAGGCGTAAAATCGAATTGTTCTATATTAACAAATCTTAAAATATATTTTTAGATAAATATAATATATAGAGTATATTTAATGACAAATGTAAACTAAGTATTATCATATTAATATTTTTTGGGTTATCTAAACGATAATATAAAGAGAGCGCGAATTTAATATGTGTGTTACATACACAGGTATGTAGGTACGGTACAGGTACGGTAGGTATTCTTTAGAACTACTGTATTTATTTGAAAAATTCTTGTTCTTGTTGGATATCAAGCCCCTTTACAGAATATCTACAACCAGCCAACGAGCTGTCATAAAACCAAAAAATATGATAAAAACTTACAATAAAAATATTAATTATAAACTCATTTTCTTATTAATCAAATTATACGATCTTACCTAAATATTGAGAGTCAAGCGTCAGATATATCTGCAATGTTATTCTGTAATAAATCAGCCTAGAACTCGACGCCAACAACAGCGCTATTACGGCATAGAGGTTTAATCAAATAAAACCTACTTAAGAAGGTAATAAAGGTTTTATTGATTGAATTGAAACTATTACTGTGACATTTATAACTGCCTTAAAAAAGTTTGGTAAATACTTTTTATTTTCAAAAGATATATTCCCAGAGTATTTGAACCAATTCAGAATCAGACGATAAGATCTCAAAAAAATCGAAGGCGCCCACTCACTCGTAGCAAATACGAATTAATTAACCCAAAAAAGAAACAAAACAAAAATAGAAAAGACTCTACAAATGAAATTAAATCGAACAATCCACGTCGAAAGAAAATTACACTTACTTCGGCATTGATAAATATAGAGGTTTGAAACTGATGAAGATCAAGTACCAATGTTATTTTAAGATAGAGTAATAAAAGTAGGTAAGATCTTAAGATAAACTTGCTTTTTAAGCTTACGGTCTGTAATTTAATTACTTAACCACCACAATGAGGAAGTATTAAAAAAACGAAGGCACTAAAAAGCACCTACACTAGATGGCGACTCGAGCAAAAGTTGATTTTTGCAATAAACGAATGGACCAAAGACAGTCATTTCCGTTCCTATTAACTAACATATTAAAAAACTGAATTTTGAAAAGTTCTAAACTTAGATATCAATACAAATACGAAAAAGTACAAATAGAATATGAGTTGTTTATTGAGTTTTGAAAATCAATTTACTTTTAAACATGAAAGAAAACCGGAAAGGTATTTCGTCATGGAGAAATCAAGAACGTACCGTGGCGACATCTAGTTAGATTTCGAGAACTAATGTTTTTTTTTAAGTACTTCCTCATTACACGGGATTGGTGACAAAAATATTTTAAATTCCTCTGTACTTCGGAAGACACGTTAAGCCGTTGTTCCCAGCTGCATAAGCAGTCGCTAAATCAGCACTAGGCTCGCGCGGTGGGTCATAGTCCATTCTCCGTATTCGATTGAATTCAAATTCATCCTTAGGGAAGGCCTGTGCTCCAGCAGAGGGCGCATTGATAGGCTGGTGATGATAAATCAGTACTAAGTTTCCAGTTCTCCTTATATCTATAGTGTAGGCTCCCGCAGTGGGAAGATGATGGTGAGGCGCGGCGGAGTTTTCCGTTATAGATTATTGTGATCGTTTGTCAGGCCCGGATTTTCAATTTTTTGAGGGAGTTTCTGTGGCTCGATTTTATTGGTCAGTAATTATTTTACTGTCCACCGAGATGTCTGCTCTCCGCGTGCGGATACCATCGACAACTGTAACAGACCCATTTTACTGAAGATTTTCTTGGATAATCCACCACAGCTTCACTTATCCATAATCTATTGAAATAGAACAGAAAAAATACAAGTAAATAAATGTTTTTGTTTTTATAATTTACATAACGAACAATTCTTGATGGCGTTTCTGTGTAAACAGTATCTTGTTTTTATTTATTATTCTCTATGATAGTTTATTGCAGTTTTAATAATGGATAAATAGTTTAATTGTTAATAATGGCATTTAACATGGCATTTAACTACTTAATAAATATTGATTGCTGTCGTTAAACATCTTGACAGAGTTTATATATTTATTTATCGAGATAAATTTATAACTTTATGTTTTGGGGGTAATCTCAGGAAAGACTGATGGCATCATGAAAATTATTTGACCTGCAGAAAGCTACATCATACACAACCTCTGTAGTTGTTAAAAAGGTGACATAGGTCATCAATTGCACAGGCCAATTTGTGGGAAAACAGTTAGTTATTCTAACTTTTTATTACACGTTTCCAGTTTTTTTTTTTCACAAAGCGATTTCAGTCTTGTTCTTGCAATTAGTTTCACGCAAAGGCATCGCAGAAGCTATTCCGAATAATGTTTCCAGATCGCACTCGACCTGGCTGACTTGACTAATACCTGTTTCGTTTGGGATAAAGGTGAGGCGCAGATGACCTACTGGTTCACACGGTACAAGTTCAAATTCACCGAGGTGGACTACAGCTTGTTCCTAACTTACTCCGTCCTCGTGGGAAGTGTTGGTGAGTTTTATTTTTAAATATATTTTTCTTTTTTTGGGTAAAAGCACTTGTATTCTATCTGGCTTTCTATCTGAACAAAAATAACATACTTTTTTCATAAATCATAAAATATAAAATACTTTTCATAAAATACCTTTTTCCTAAAAAGTGATATTGATATATAAAAAAAAAAAATCAAATACAGTTGTTTATACACAAAGTTTTATTTTATACAAAAAGTTATCAGCCTGTATTAAAACCATTTAAGAACTCATAAAATTGTTTGTATAAAATTTTTCCTGCTTTTATATTTTAACGTCAGTGTCAGTTAATTAGATCTAATAATAAGGGATGGCTGAAGAACTCCCAAGCTGATAAAAATATAGTTTTTTTTTATATTGATTAAGTTTCTTTATTAAATTACTCTTTGAATGACTAAGGAATTATGAAATAAAATTAAATAATCATCAATATCTATGTGATATTTATACGTATTAGGTAGTTGAAATTAATTTTCAATATTTTCACTTTGTTAGTGATTTATTTTTTTATTATTTAGTCAGCGTCAAAGTCTAAGGATTATTTTGTGCTATATTCATATATATCACACACATCAAACAAATACATTATTATGTCTTTGTTGAATCGTTGTTAAGAAGAAACGTTCAAACGGTATTTTGCGGTTAAGCTAGTTAAGATTTAAATACCATGCCACAAGACTAATAACTTTCTTGTACTTTAACCCAAATGATGTTACTGCTGTGAAACTATCTTATATTGCAAACAGGTATGGATCTCCTCAGAGTCTATGCATTATTATAGTGTAATATCTGTTGTATAATTAATAAGCCTATTATATACGTACATCACTAGCGCCAAAGTTAACAATTGTTAACGCTTTAATTCATTTAGTGTGTCAATAGACGGCGCTGGTCTTTAAATTTGATGCTTTAATTTAAATTTATACATCTGAAATGTCCATATGGCATCTATTGTGGTAGTGTACGTATTCACAAGATAACAACAAGACAACACGATTGTTTCAATATAAACAAACATATATACCAAACAGATGATTATGTAGCTATCTAAAACGTTAACAATACCATCTATGGGCAAAATTCGTGCAATAATTTTTTATTTCATTGTGAACTGATAGAAACACACGGCAGCATACTTTCTTTTATATTAAACTAGCTTTCCGCCAGTGGCTTCGCGCGCATGGTCCTATATTTTACATAAAAACACTTTTGAATCAGTCTGTCAATTAAAAAACTGCATCAGAATCCGTTGCGTAGTTTAAAAGATCTTATATAAAGCATAGGGACAGACAGATGGAGAGTGACTTGGTTTTATACTATGTATTGAATTAACTGGTTGGCGCTGTGGTAACAGTTTGTATTTATTAGGTGTCTTGATACTAGAAAGCGTACTATTTTAAATTCATTAGCTTATCAAAGCAATAACTATTGGTTTCTCTGACAGATTGATGATTGCACTATCTCTCATTTACAAAACAAATATATTATGCATTAGTCTCTAACATTGTTACTAGCTGCACTAAATTATAGGCAAAATCAACAGCATATATTATTATTCACTATTATCCTCTAAAGAAATGTTTATAAACGATTGGGAGTGCTACAAAATGTACAGACGTACCTTCATATCACTATAATAATAATAATAAAGATAGTCTTAATTACTTTTCCATTTGTTTTCTCTTTTTTTTATCATAACAAATTAATCTCATATATATTATAAAGGTGAAAGTTTTGTGGGCATATGTATTATATGTTTTTATTCTTTCACACTATTTTAAACCTGAAAGATATAGGCTACTTTTTATCCCATTAAACGACCAGCATATTATTTAAAAGTCTGATTTACCCCCATTGTGCTCAGAATTATGATTGCCTATGTATAGCCGAAATGAATCTACGGCAAGTTAGAGTTCAAATATACTCCACCTAGAATACCAAGATCTTTTGTATCGCTATCCTAAGTTTGGCGATGGAGTAAAAGTCATCTGCGACCAACAGTCCTATTTATCTACTCAACAGCAAAGTAGGCACACGAGTAAAGGTTTTACCGTCATTAAATAAGGATTATTTATTATTAATTTGATAGATCCTTCATTATTGCAACTATCCCATTAAGTATTTGTGTTAAGTCTTACAGAAGTAAAAAAAAACCTAATATTATAATGAATTAATATGTATGTCATAGAATCGCATGTAAATAATTTCCGATGAAAAATTCCTCTACAATATTTACTTGATGATAATTATATTTATATTACGTTATAAGATATACCGTTCATCATATTATGACTACGACTATTCACTTGCCATAGATGGAATTCTTGAAAACATTCTTTAATTTCCTTGTTCATTTTCAATTATGTTTATGTTAAGATATTTAAATAATTTACATTAAGAATCAAGATACATTTTAATTATTACATACATTTTACGTATTTCAAATTGGTAATTTCCTTTTGTGGCTAGGAAAGGACATAAGCTACCTTTCATGGCGAAAAAAATATTTGAAAGGGTTGCAATAAGGAATGACATTTTGTATGAAAGCTCATTATTGAAAATGAGCGCAGGCAGACGCGGGCAAAAGCTGTATACATGATATTTAATAATGATATTTAAAGAGCTAGTAAATATATATTTCGTTAAATTAATTTATATAGATAAAAGAACTGCTTAATAATATTTAACATTTGTGTGTAGGTTCCTTCGTCACAATTTACCTGTTCAGCAAGAGGTGGAAGATTGAAGACAGCACAATAGGCGTGGTGGCTTGCATCAGTAGGATAGCTGCGAGCGTGGTTTACGCTTTGGCCCCAAATAGGACAGTTTATTTTCTCGGACCAGTTCTGGATATGTTCAGCTCAGCTGGAGCAACTTCCCTGAGATCTATGGCCACGAAACTGGTTGGCGATGACGAAATCGGTGAGTTGATTGTTTACGTCATATTTAATTATTCTACTATTTATTTTCTACTTCCGATATTTATCAAAGATAATTTTTATCTGTTTTGTTACCGTAGTGTGTTATGATATAAAATGTGTTCATCGTAGCAAACTTAACTCGTGAAATATATTTATTGCGTAATATATTGCGTATAATCCTCAGTGTACTACACATATAACCAATACACACTTTCAGACTGTACATTTGGAGATCTACCCACAAAAACCTAGTCTAACCTCAGCAATGAAGCGTGGAGTCCCAGGCTACAATACTAAGATTCTTAAAAATTATATTTAATTTAAAACACATTGTATTTAAAACAAACTCATTTAAATATAAAATATTGTGACCACCAACGTTATATCTTCGATTAATATTTATGTACAGTTCATTAATAGAGTTGTTTCAAGATATATTGTACCATAAATTTTACAAATATATTTTAATTTTTATGAAAGAAATGCTGGTTTTAACCGCTTTCAAAGAAATGGAAGAGATTGTAAGTTCGACAGATTTATTTTATACTAGTTGTTTTCCTGTTACTTCGCCCGCGTTTATAGCCTTTGTAATGCCGCCACGTATGAAGTGAAATTATTTTTAAAATTGTTCCAGTGGTTTCGAAGCCTATTCAATACAAACAAACAATCAAATCTTCTCTTTTTTCTTATTAGTTCTTTATTCGTATTTATTGGTATAAAGATATATAAAGTGTGTAGAAGTCAATTTTAAAGAAACTAGGTATTTGAACGTATATAAGTAGGATTATGATTGTACTTTAATTTATGTTAACAAACTATAATTGTAACATAAATACGTATATACACATAAAGTATGCTGAATTTTTTTATTGCCATACCAAAAATCATTTTCAATTACAATCTTCCATTGAATCATTTCTTAATATTTCACAATTAGAAAACATTTACTTTAACTAACATTGATTTCCATTTGCTACGTTTACAAATATTTGCTTCCAACTATCAAAATTATTTGATAATACTGGAATTTTAATATTTTATTTAAAAACTAAGATAGGATTGCCAGCCCTAAATTTCAAAAACTAGGTTTTGATGTTGGAAATCTAGATCATTTCAATTTCAAAGTAGCACGCAGTATCTAATACAATAGTTAAATAGAAATTAAAACTTCAAATTTTAAATAAAATAGGTTTAATAACGTCAGTAGAATTCTACGAATATTATTAAGTCTATAACAATTTATTCTTGTTCCAAAAAATAACAGAATATCCACCCGTAACGTAAGAATTGCAAAAGCAACACGTTAGTTTTAAAATACATGATCTTATACGGGTGCTTTAAGAACTCGTTACATTGCTTATAAAACTATCCAGAACATGTTCCGGGAAAAGAAGAAGGTTGGCGACCCTAACTAAAGGAACACTTTATGCATTTCCGCGGAAATTGATTACTTTGCTTTGATTTATTTAGGAAAATTACTACCTACACGAGTGTTCTCAACATTATTTGTAAGGATGTTTACTTTTTCTGATATCTCATTTTCTGTTTTATGAATAAAGATCAAGATATGACTCAGTACCGCAATGCTCAGTAAATGTTAGTAAATTTATCTTTATATATTTATAATATAGTGTTAACTTTGTTCTATTATTTCTCCACCGTTGCGGTACTTGCTGGCCTCTTGCTAGCGTGGGCAAATATTAGCCCACGCTAGATTGCACGACATGGTTTGCATGGTCATTAATCGCATTTTGAATAGGTAACCCTTGTATTAGAAGGCTCCAGATAACCACGCCTGTTGTCAAATGCCGTGGAAATGCAAGAATGGAATGGAATGTAGTTTCCCTACGGAAAAAGAAAGGGTAGAACTCAAATCTATACATGAGACGAGGCTGCGATGATCACTTTTAGGCTAATATAAAAGAAGTAGAATGCGGCAGGCTAAATATAAACGCAACGATATCGTAAGAAACAAATCAAAAACAGATCATGAACGATCATGTAGGCCCAGTGTAAATGATTGTGATTATGATCGACCGTGATATTAAGACAAAATACATAATTAACGATTTATACAAAACAAATGATCATTACAAATAAGCTTGTAATGACAGAAAATAAATATAAGTCAAATTGACTATATCCATATTTTATACGTACCATCTATCTAATAAAGATTTAATGAGAAATAAACTGATTATGGTAGTTTATAGACTAAAATAAAACTATATGTCTAACATGGCATAATCGAAAATATGTCTTTTATATTTTCGATAATTTAGATGAATGAATAAGAATTAATAATACCTTTTTATCGATCAAATTGATGAAAATCTAAATAAAGAACTGCGACAATGTTATATCTAATAATAGTCTATTACAATATTCAATTACATCAATTCATAAGTAACGAGGAAGGAAATGGTTGGGTCATAAAATCGTAGATAATAGAGATTAATTGTTATGCCCATTAATCTAGGATGCAAGTGGCATTTAGTAGTAAAACCTTGCGGACATTATAAATGATGACACTATGTCACAATCATCAAAACAAAGACCCCTGGATTACAAGCAAGTCTGTAAACTATCACAAAAAACGCAAAATTACGCAAATGGAAAGTCTAATGCGTTGGTAGGTCAGCACCACGGTACTTTCGACATCATAATACTACAGCTAAAGCGGAGATCTAAGTGGATATGGAATTGTTTAATGAAAATCAATCATCACAAGTATATAATCATGGATTTATTAATAAAGTAAATGTAGAGGTCAAACATACAGTAAAGCTGTTAAGTAACAATTACTTCTTCATCTTTTATTAATTTCTGCCAATATCAAGTGATTAAATGAGTTATATTAAAAAAACTACATGGTCTATTAAAACTGTTAAATGAGAAAAATTATATCCGAAGACGTTATATAATTTATAAAAACCCTAGAGATTAATTGGAACTAAAGTTACTCAGTAATAGGTGCGAAAAAAAGCTCAAAGTTTTTATAAAGATTATATTAATATAATTGAACGTAACATCAAGGGAAATCCTAAATTGTTTTGGTCGTTTGTTAAAGCAAAGCGTGGAGGAGCTAGTTTTTACCCAGCAATTGTATCAAATGGAAACACAACTACGTCTAATCCATTGGAAATATGTAATGTCTCTGCTAAATATTTTGCATTGATTTAGTCATCAGATGTGAATGTGCATTCTTGGACTTTATCTAACTAATTGTTATCTTTAAATAGGTATGGTACTTGTTTGACAGCTTCCGTTATTGACAACGCTTCCGTATTAAAGAAGTTAAAAAATCTTGACTCGAATAAAGTGCCAGGACCTTATAATATTCCACCAATGTTTATATCCTCATGTGTGTCTGTGTTAGCTTATCCACTATGTCTTATATATAACAAATCAAGAGTATCTGGTATATTTTCCTCAATATGGAAAGTAGTAAAAATAGTCCCAGTGTAATATTTATCAATCGTAAATAATTGTTGTTTAGTCTATAAATAAAAAATTAAATACTTGTAAAATGAACACGAAATTAATGAAAAAATGCAATTACAATTTTGTTTAAAATTTTGATAAATTTCAGAAATGACGCTTAAAAACAATTAAAAAGTAAAATAAACTAAAAAGGTCGCCAACAAAAGCTTGAATTACTGAAAGTCTTGGCAAATGGTACACTATATATAGTCTTCAATGAGTAATTTCACTGCTATAGGGACCTACTGGTTTAGTAGCCTGAATAATATCTGTCATATCCGCCGTGCCGTTCTTTCTCAACATAATAGGAGACCTAACAAAAGTAAGGCTAGCTAAGTAAGGCACCATCGTCAGTCTTTTTATTTCGTCGTTTTTGATTTTAGTAAGTGAAGTGGTGTTTTGATGACTAATCTTGACCTTGCACTTAAGAAAGAAGAAGAAATCTCGAAAAGGAATTGAGTTAACAGCTACCGAGGTTAACGAAGCACTTATTTAGTTGATCACATAAAGTGACGAAAATATTTTCTAATGTTTTATTTCAAGGTAGTTTCCCAAGGTTTCCCATTGATCAAGGTTGTAACTTGGGTTATAAATCTAAAAAATATATTGCGTACGAAATGTGACGATTGTTTGGCAATAATCATCGGCGTATTTCCATTGTCAAAATGATCAATGATTGCAATTTTAGTATTAATCCGAATTCATATTATTACTCCCGTAGAACTTCGTACTAAATTAACCTTTGTTAAGTCTCTTTTTAATGTTACAAATTTTGACTAATACTAAGTGTAGTCTCCGCCTAAATTTACTCCAACGCTAAACATTATTTATTAATAACACTGTAAATATGCATGCAAAATTTTGTTTAATATTGTTCAGGTATATATTTTTTGAAAATTGGACAGATTGCAATAATTAATTTTTACTTAGATTTTAATTGATGTAACACCAGAAGTTTCATCATAATGTGTCCAGAAGCTTTAACGACATTAAACTATGAACAAGCTTTAACAAAAAGACAAATTGCGAACTCAAAACCAACTTCACCAAAGTAAAAAATAATTCACGAAACTTCTGAAATCAGATGGTTAATATGAAACAATAGTCTACACAGAATCCCCGCCCGAATTCAATAGAAGTTTCACGAATTAATAACGTTCACTTTTAAGTCAGTTTTATTAAAAAAAATATATTTTATTTTGTTGTTAATACTGTAGAGTAAATCAAAGTAGGTAATATGAGAATATAATAAAATAATAATAATTAATATATGAATGAAGGATTAATTATTGATTCATATATAAATAAATAAAATAAATAAGGTATATCAATAAATAATTATTATATAACTGCTTATTGCACGTGTCACATCTAATAATGGTACATGATACAGTTGTATTAGTTTGAATTCAATTTTATAAAATAAGCTAACGCTTTCCTCGTTACTTCGCACGTGTAAAAATATAATATAATAAATAGACTATGTCAAATCCGAATGATGTAGCTACTAGTAGTTGA